TTTCAATTCACTACACCACCAAACCATCTTCCAATTTTTTACTCAAATAGCTCCCTTTACATCCTTCATAGTGCTCGTCATAGAAATATTCACTTTGTTGACCATAAGCTAGAGGAGGCAGAGGGTGGTCCAACCCCTACTCCAACACTAGCACTTGTTTAATTATAAGAGCTCTTAGTACGATGTGCTACTTTAGAGATTTGATCAATGAGAGACTTGTTTTGACACATACATAGCAGAGAACCATCAGCAACATGAAAATAATATGGCTAGATTCGGAGAGCAATTTGCTTTTATTCATTGATACTTCCAACCACTACTACCTCCACCTGATCAAGGACCTTTCTATTTTTATTGTGTCTTATTTTTATTTTTTTGTATATATTATTTTTCTTTTTTCATTATGATGAATGTTTTATTTTGGTGTTATGTATCGTTGTTCCTCCTTTTTGGTGATGTCAGAAGGGGGAGTAGCTTGTTGTTGGTAGTATGTACTTATTGCTTTGTTATGATTAGTTCACTATTTTGCCTTTATTTTCTTGCTCATTTTTTATGTGTGTTTTTTTTATTCCTCTTAAAAAAATCTCCCTTTTTTTAAAAAAATTTAACTAGTAAGGGAAAGCTTAGGACATAATAAAAATTAATTTGAAATAAAAAACCAACAATCTTTGTTATTATAAAAAAAGGGGGAGATTATTGCAAATATGGATCCGAGTCTTATAATTTTGATGATAACAAATATTATTGGATTCTTTACTATGATATCTCTTGTTATTGTTATTATTACATATATGTTTTCTTGTGCACCAATATTTTAGGTCCACCATACACATTGCAAATTGATCAGCTCAATACTCGGTAGAATAGAGTTAAATTTCTTGAAGAGTCTGTAATTTTAATTTTATTTATTTCTACATTTCTTGAGTTATGTCATAATTTGGTGGATGCTAAACATGGAGAACGTGCACACACACTCAAGGGAGTGAGATAGTGAGAAAATTATGAGTATATTTTTTCAAGTTATTGTAATATATGATGTATAGTATACTAGACGACCGGCTGTTCATATAATTATTAAAATGGTTAATTATGTAAGTAAAGCTAGTTGAACTAATCGTATTTTACTATCTCGATTGTATTAGATAATCAGTTAAAATCAAGAACTAAGCTGTCAATAATAATTTAGGAAATATTTTAAAATTCAAAATTTGTACTAATCATGTCGTACGATAGGTATCATACTATATGATATGATTAAAAATCTTACCTAAATTAATTCTATAATTAGGGAATGATTTTGGATAAATTGATATAATCAAATCGTACATGATGATTAGACCCATCTTGTACGACACAATCTTTGCATGTGATGATATATATGTTATCATCGTCAATCGTATTAGATGACAATCAAAGTAGTTTGAACTAATCATATTGGATGATTATCAAATCGTATTGGAAAATCAACTCAATTTATTGAATTGATCATACAACACCTTATTCTTTATATAGTATTATTAGGGTTATTTGAACTAATCGTATCATATGATCTTTTTTCATATTGTAAGATTAGTATCAATAGAATTGAATTTTAGGGCTTTTTGTGAGGTCTTATATTTAAGCTATCTAATTAGACTTATTTTAAATCTTTGGCTGCTAAGTGTTATGGAGAGAGAGCTTAGAGAAGTGAAGGAAAAGAGAGATTTGGGAAGAAGAAGGGAGGTCTTGTGTGTGAGGGTTTCACACCGTTGCTCCGAGTAAGTGTCTTGCCTTGTTTCATCAAGGTGTTTGTCTATGTTTCTTTGGTGGATCTGGGATCCGTTGAAGTTCTCTGCCTTCACCATGAGGGTGAAAAAGGATGTTCAGGTTTTTTTCCATCACCAGGAGGGTGAGAGAAGAGATTCAGGTTCTTGAAATCACTAAGAGGGTGAGAAAAAGAGGTCAAGGTTCTCTTCAATTACCAGGAGGGTGAGAAAGGAGGTTAAGGTTCTCTACCGCACCAGGCTGGTTAAAAGTTTATGAGGGCTTTTCCACCTAACTGTGTGGGCTAAAATAGAGACACTAAAGTTTAGTCCAATATTAGGAGAGGAGTACTTTAGGAAGTCAATGTAGGTTATTGCTTGACCGAACCACTACAAATTTTTTTGTGTTCATTCTATTTTTTTATTTTCCGCACTTTACTTTTTTGTATTTTAATCCTGTGATAATTTCTTGTTAAAAATCTATGATTGATACTTTGTTGTGTTGATTAGAATATCATCATCATTATTGTAACTTTTGATATAATTATTTGCTTCCACATTTTGTGATAAGTGTTGTTATTTTTATGTTGTTAAAAATCCTAAATTCAAAAATAATTTTGTGTTTTCTAGTAGGATTTTTAAAACTATCAATTCACCCCATCTCTCTTGGTGTTCATAAGGATTATTCAGTTAGGCTTAACATTATACATCAAATTTTCATTGATGATATGGGTGACTTTACATGCCCGAGGATCATAGGACGACTCACCCTAAAGAATCAACAATTGCTACTCACCCAGGTTTACTAAGGAGTTCATCCAACGCAGGGTAAACCAATACCACCTCACCAAATTAACAACTCAGCACCTACAGTATGTTAGGATGCTGAATCAATCACTTACTCTCTAGAACAATCACCCTTTCAAACAATTTTAGCTATAGGAAAGCACCTATTCAAGGAGCCTTAAGCTCACCCTACTATGATTGCACAACCAGTGAGCTCATCTTATCCACCATTATAGGTCACCCGCCTTCTCACCAAGGTGATTCAAGGCTTAACATAAGTCACCAATAACTTCCAAAATATCTAAGCTCCTCCTCCTTAGAATTTTCTCCTCGACTTTCCCACTCCTTCTAGACACTAGCAAGATCACTTTGGCTACAAAGCTCACCTTAAAGACAAACTGACAAAACTCTGCAACCCCTTCTCTCCCTTAACTATTTAGCTGGTCATACTAGTCTATAGCAATGTGTAGCATTGATTGAGTGATTTGTGTAGTATTATAATTTTTACTCTTTCTATGTATTGTCTTTTATGTAGCTCTCATAACCCTATAAATAAGGGGTCTTGAGGAACAATTTGAATGACCTTTAATTAATATAGTGGATATTTAATAGTTAGCTCTTTTAAGCATTATGTCATTTTTTTTCACTATTCTCTCCACTTTCAATTCTCATACATTCTTGCTCACCAGGTTCAACATGTTTAGTAAGGACTAGTATTATTTAAGGCCAAATTTAGATTCAACACTTTTGTAATGTAGTGAATTTCTTATAGATTAGTCTCTCCTGATACTCTAAATTTCCTAGAATTACCTTTAGCTTCTCTCTTCTTGAATTACACATTCTTGCTAGTAAAGTTTTTGAGTTAGTCATAAATGAATTTGAATTCAACACTAATAAAACTACTAAATTTATTCATGGATAAATTTGAATCCAATCCTAATAAAACTAACACAATAAAAAAAAAATCAAAGAATTTCTCTTGCTTCTCACAAATTATACCTTCTCTCTCTCTCTCTCTCTCTCTCTCTCTCTCTCTCTCTCTCTCCCCCCTTTGCTTCACACATTAATTTTTTTAATAAAATAAATAATTTAAATATAAGAATTAAAGGAGTGGTTATCAAAGTTGTAAAAATTGGACTAGACAATGAACCAGAAGAAGGAGAGGTTCACAATTTGATGTTCAACCAGGGTCGAACAAGATGATATAATAAATATTAATTTTATTCAAATATTACATAATTTATATAATAATAATAATGCAATCATATAAAAAATAATAGTTGATTTTTAGGGGAATTCAAGAGTTGCATGAGTGTTACAAAGTGCATTGGGCATGATATTGTAGATTGAGTGAGCAAACTAAATATCGAATTTTCAACCGAAACATGTTAGAGAAGGACAGCATATGTATTGGAAGGTTTGAGGTTTGGCCACTTAAAACCCGTATTTTTAGAAAACTATAACAAAAAACATGATTTCAAGGCTAAAGTTTTATGTGATAATTTTCCTATTATAGTAACTAAAAACTTTAAGGTTTGCGGTTTTGCCTGCGATCGAGTTTGGGAAAAAAATGACCATGTGCATTGTTTTAAAAAAAATAAAAAATAGAAAGGTTAAGGAAAGAAATGAGAAATCTTAAAGCAGTAGAAGTAGTTTGCTGGTGAGAATGAATGTTATATTGGTTGATTAAAGATCTGAGAAGCACCTCTAGTGTCACCGGGGAGGAAGCTAATGAGAGAGAATACTATGCGTTCATGTCTAGGGAGGGGCAAATTATTGGGTTCGGACACCGGACGTGTTCAGAGCCCAATAAAAATACGTTACATCACCTACGACTCGGTACCGCTCAGTACCGAGCTCAGTACTGCTCAGTACTTCATAGTATCAAGCTCAATATCCCTTAGTACTGTGAATACCAAACGTAAGTTGTGTTAGGTGTCCGAACCCAATAATTTTCCCTAGGAAGGGAGCTGTGCGAGAACAAGAGAGACTACTGTGTTCATGCATGAAGAATGAAGCTACGAGAATGAGAGTTTTTTCTCTTGGCTTGGAAGGAAAACTACGACTTAAGGTTCATGATTTTAGTTTTATTGGACACATCACAACTTTAATTTCATGTTTTGATCCTTGAATTAGCTGTCAATGGTGCAAATTAATTATAATTTTGAACTGGGAGGTTCTTAAAAAGTCAGACGGTTCACCGGTTATATGGTTGAAACGACAATTCATCCGATTTTTTCACGGTCTGATGCTAAAACGATATTATTGTTATACGAAATTGACTTGTCGACTAATTCATGATTTTTCTTCAAAAAAAAAAAATAAAAAAAAGACTAATTCATGATTGAACCGTTAAACCGGTTGATCGGATCCAATTTTTAAAACCTTGCCGATTACTGATTATAATTCTTCTTTTAAAACTAATGATGAGGTTTAAAATTATGAGAAAAAATTTTGACAAATGACTGGCATTTGCTTTACTCGATTTTGTTGCTTTGAAAGAACGGCAAGTCCTTCGAGGCCTTAGACAACGCTTCGACCAAGTTCCCCAATGTCTGAGCAACCGGCTCTTTCGCCGCCATCTCCGACGTCGCTATCGGTCAACTCCAGCGGCGTACGCGAAGCTATCAGATTTGTAGCAGGAGAAGAGAGAGAGAAGCCCGAGGAATCTGCCGCACCATCGGGTTTATTCATCGACGATGCCAAGTCCCGGCTGCAGTCTCCCTCCGTTACTCCGCGTGCTAAGAAAGGTCACGGCCGGCGGAAGAAGAACCCTCTCACTCCAAAGCAACGCGCAACCGCTGAACGCAATCTCAAGATCCTCTCCGAAAATTTCCGCCCCGTTCCGTTCTCCCCGGCTAAAACCGTTAATTTCTCCGCGCACGAAAATCTATTCCGCGCGCTTGGTCTCTGGGATTTTGCCCACTTAGAACTTGATCGTGAGGTGCGATCCGAACTTCTTGTCCATCTGATTGCTTACTACGATTCTTCCAGTCGCCGCAGCTACGTCTATGGCGCGCGAATCTCAGTTCGGCGCAGTGATCTGGCTCGTGCCCTAGGCTTGCCTGTCAAGAAAGAGAAAGCTAATGCGTTTGAGTGCAAGGATGAGGATGTGAGTGTCCTTCTGGATTTTATTTCGAATTACATGCCCTACGGAGACGATATGTGTATATTACCTCCGGAAATCATGCAGGCAACTAAGTTTGTAAGGGAGAAAGAGCCTCAAAAGGTGGATTGGGCAGCGTTGATGTGGGTTTTGGTGGAGAAGGAGCTCTCGGAGGCTTCCAAATCCGGAGTTTGTCACTGTGCCTCCCATCTGCAGTGTTTGATTAAGCACCAACAGCCTCATTTATTCCAAAAGAAAGAAGAGCCTGTATTGGAGTCTGTGGTTGAGGCTCAAGAAGAGGAGGTTTCGGTGGCAGAACCAGTGCTAAGCATGGCGAATGATAAAACTACTGTGGTAGAAAATGAGGTTGCTGTGGCAGAAGAGGATGTTAATTATGATGATGTTAATGCGATGAAGGTGCGGAGCTTGAACGATTTGGGGGATTTGGTACCTGAGAAAGACAATGGAGAGTTGGGATTGACACTTGGTGTAGAAGAGAGTGTAATGGATGGTTTTGATGAAGAGAAGGTGGGAGAAGATGACGAGTGGCCTGAAGAAGGTGAGAATGAGGCCTTTGAGCATTGCTTTCGCCGCTGCAATTCTAGAACTGCTGCAGACATTGACTTTGAGAATTTGACTAAGCATGAGCAGGAGAGTGAGGAGCTGGGGTATGCGGATGGCCTGTCGGAAAAGTTTTCTAATTTGGGGAGGATATCATCAACAGACCTCTTACAAGCAATGGCAAACACGAGCAATATGAGTATTCCTTATGATCAGCAATTGAACTCCTTCAATGCAGCTTCTGGACAATTTTTGACAATTGGTGATGAGTCTAATAAGGATATGCTGGGCCATGGTCCAAATGGCTCCCTGTATTCTGGGAATAATGGTAAAAGACAAGCTAGTGCAATGGGTGCTGCAGAGGAAGACCATTTGGAACATAACTTGCAAAAAAGGATGCGCAGTGCTGAACCTTGGGGTAATTTGCCACTATCATTTGATGAGTGCATGGAGTACATGCAGACAGGTTTAGCAAGAGTCAAATTTCTATACGCAGATAAAGATAAAAAAATGGCGAATATGCAAATGCAGATACCCTATTTGAATCAGATGTTGCAAGAGAAGGAGCAGAGCATTCAATCATTGAGGATGACGATTGAAGAGCAACAACATTGGAGGATGGTAGTTCGCCATTATGAGCATGAACTGTCTTTGATGACCCAAATGCTACTTGGTTATAAGAAAGCATTAAAGGAGACTCGAAATATTTTTTCTGAATATAGAAAGAAATGCTCACAAGATGATGGAACTCTTCACGAGGCTGTTCCCGGGACTGGTGGTCTGGTTCCAAGTGTGATGGAGTTTGAAAAATGCCAATTAGAGAAAGAGGAGAAGGAGCGCCAGGAGTTGTTAGCCATATTTGATAGTCTTGTGAAGGTCTTGATGAACTTTAGCAAATATGAAGAGCGCATCATGATGTACAATATAAAGCTGGTGGATCTAGCTAGAGAAGTCAAACAACTGAAAGAAAGGTTTGTAAAGTCTAATTCCCCAAACATTTGATTATGCTTTTGATATTTTTCGTAAGTGCTTGCTTTATGACTTGTATGGATCACTATGCCTTAAAATTGAGATATAATATTATTTCTTATAGCTCACACTGCATATATATCTTTCATTCTCCACTTGTGTTATACATATATATCTTTCATTCTTCACTATGGTTATGCCTAGCATCTTAAATTTGGGGCATAAGTTTATTTCTTATAACCCACACTATTTGGATATCTTTCATTCTTCACCAGTGTTATGCCTGCATTTTGCTGACATTTGGTGATTGTTAAAATTCTTTTAGTTCCAGATTATTTAATGCTTTAATGGTGTAATAATTCCCCAAATAGTCGGGATAAGGTTAATAATAGTGATGATGCTGATGCTGATTATGGTGCAATAATTTTTTATTGTTTGGTGTGGTTGTTAACATTACATTATGAATTTGCAAGAAAGCCATGTTTTAACATGTCGGAAACTTATGTCAGAAGAAATTAAGATGATACTATTTTAGGGTTCTAAATACTGTAAATGTTGTGATTTTACTACTATTGTGATCCTTAAATACTAGAAAGAAGAGGTCTCATGCTAGGCCAATGCTGCTTAAAAAGAATCATAATTTGTCTTCCTAGCATATTCTTCTTGTAGAAATGTTGCACTTCATGTGGTGCAGACTTTGCAGCTCCACTTGACGTAGGTATGGATACATCAAGTATCAGTATATAAATAGCTATAGTATAATTGCAAACCGTGCTTCAAGCAATAGCTTTTGGCCAATACACTACACCATTAAGGTTTTGAAAATTTCCAAATTGATGTTTGGATGAGATATTTTGCTAAACTTTTTAATGAAGATTGTGAAAATAAGATTGACTTTAATGATCTTAGCACCCTAAATGAAAATATATATTTCTGTTTTTATCGGCGTATTAGAAAAATTAAAGTTATAGAGGCTTTAAAGAAAATGAAGGGTGGAAAAGATGTTGGACCTAATGATATTCTAATAGAGGTGTGGAAATGCTTAGGAGGTGAAGGAATTTCTTGGCTTACTAAACTTTTTAATACTATTTTGAAGACAAAAGATGCCAGATGAGTGGAGAATGAGTGTGTTAATTCCTATTTTTAAGAATAAAGGTGATGCACAAGATTGTGCGAATTATAGTGGAATTAAACTATTGTGTCATACTTTAAAACTATGGGAGCGAGTTATGGAGCATAGGTTGCGTAGTGATACTAATGTTTCTCAAAATCAAATTTAGATTCATGCCAGGAAGGTCGACTATGGAAGCCATACATTTTTTAAGAGGTTTGATTGAGAAATATAGGGAAAATATGGAGGATCTACATATTATATTTATTGATTTAGAAAAAGCATATGATAAAGTTCCAAGAGAAGTGCTATGGAGAGTTCTTGAAAAAGAATGAGTTAATAATGCTTATATTCAAATCATTAAAGATATACATGCAGGAGCTATTATTTGTGTTCAAACACAAGGTGGTTTGACCAAGTATTTCCCTATTGCAGTTGGGTTACATCAAGGATCAGCCTTAAGCCCATAACTTTTTGCTTTAGTCATGGATGTCTCACTAGACATTTGCACGAGGATGTACCTTGGTGTATGCTTTTTGCTGATGATATTCTTCTTATTGATAAGACTAGAGAGGAAGTTGAAGGTAAGCTTGAATTATGGAGGTCAACCATAGAGTCTAAAGGTTTTTGTTTGCGTAGATCTAAAACAGAATATCTGAAGTGTAATTTTAGTAGTAATAGACCTAATGAGGGGATTGTGACTTTGGGCGATCAAGTCATTAATAAGAGTACACGTTTTAGATATCTTGGATCTATTGTTCAGAGTGATGGTGAAATAGATGAGGATATTATCAGCATAATTCAAATTGGATGGTTGAAGTGGAGGAATGCATCGGGCTTGTTGTGTGATAGAAAACTACCCCTCAAACTTGAGAGAAAATTCTATAAGGTGGTGGTGAGGCCTACAATGCTTTATGGTGCCGAATGTTGGCCATTAAAAGAGAAGCATAATTCTAAGTTAAGTGTGGCAGAGATGAGAATGCTCAGGTGGATGAGTGGCTTTACCCTTAGAGATAGGATACGAAATGAGCATATACGTGAAAAGGTTGGAGTAGCTTCAGTAGAAGATAAGATTAGAGAGAGTCGCCTTAGATGGTTTGATCACATAAAACGATAGCCTTCCGATGACCCGGTTAGGAGAGTAGAGGTATTAGATTTGACTTATGTTAAGAAAGGTAGAGGTAGACCTAAAAAGACTTGGTTAGAAAATATTAGGAAATGACCTTTCTTTATTAGATTTAAATGAGAATTTGACTTTTAATAGGACACAATGGAGAAAAAAGATTCCTGTAGCCGACCCCACGTAGTGGAATAAAGGCTTGATGTTGTTGTTGATGTTTGGATGTTTTTGGATTCACAGTTGTGTGCACTCTGTCAATTGATGCTGTTAGACCAAAGCATAATTTATACCCATAAACTCTTGATCCATCCAACCCCTTTGATTTTTTCCCTTCCATAGATCTCAAAGAACACTGATGCCAATAGTTAAATAATGTTTGATTTTACTACTCAAATGTTGTACTAGCTATTAGCTAGATATTTGCCTAGTTAAGCTTGTAAAAAGAGCTATGAGACCCTCCATTATGCTACTTGCCATGATGTCGCTTTCTCATCATTCTATATGTGGTGTTAAACTTATTTAGAGCAAATAGTTCAACTTATATTTATTGAAACTTTTTGTATTCTATTTTCTCTCTTAATCTTGTACACTAATTTATCTACTTGTTATATGAGTGCATTTTCTACTCTATGTTGGACATAACCAAACTTGCCAAGTCTATTGTCCACAACTTCTTTTTTTCCAATAAATGCTACATATATAGTCTCTCTCAATAATATACTCATGCACAATCTATCATTTTTTTGTGTTCTCACTTCTTTTCTCACGCATCCATATTTATATTTTCATTGGTGTCATGACATAACTTGGCTATCATTGATATTCTTTTTATTACAAAACACTCAAATCCACCCAATGTAGTTGACTTAATTTAAATTTTGTAAACTTTACTTTTAATTTGCCATGATATTTTCTTTTCACCTATACTCTTAAGATATTTTTTCATTATAGCCATCCAAGAAATTCTAAAAGTTATAATTTCATCTAAATTCCAATTTTTTTTTGTATTTGTTTCATGATATTTAAATCTGTTAACCTATTCTACTAATTTTTAGCCAATTTGTCTTCTACACTTTTCCTCAATTATTCTAAATTCTCTCACTTACTAAAATTATATCATTTGAAAATGTATACACCAATGCATCTCATTTTGAATATTCTGCAAAGCATTTTTGTCATTATTATTTCTATCATTAACATTATCCTAAACATTTAAGCTTTACTTTATAAATTACATTTTCTATTTGTTCCCTTTGAATGTTGCCTGAGATATTAAACCTATATTATTTTGAATAGCTTTTATCCATATTCACTTAGTTCTGCCTCTTCTCCTTCTTATCCCTTCTCCATTAATTTATGTGCCTATCTAAAAGACACATTTTCTACCTTTCATTGTAATATCCTTCTAAGACTAGTTTTAATTACCTTATATTTTTTTTTGAAAATAATTACCTTATATTGCATATATGAACTTTTAGTTCTTTTACTAATAATTTAATTCTTTAAATTATCATTTTTAGTTTTGCTACACATCTATTTTAACGTTGAACATTTTTCCATGCTTAGTTCAACCATTAAGAATTGTTTTACTTTCTAGCACTCAAAGCCATATAACAACACAATTTGTAGTTTTATACAGCAACACAAGTCTTTATCCTGTTATGTGGGATCGGCTACATGAATCCTTTTTCTCCATTGTGTCCTGTTAAAAGTCAAATTCTCATTTGAAATAAACCCGATGCATTCCTCTACTTCAATCATCCAACTTGAATTCTACTAATAACATTCCTACTTATTTCACCATCACTCTGAATAATAGACCTAATATATCTAAAACGTGTATGGCTTGATCACCCAAAGTCATATTCCCTTCACTAGATTTATTACTATTAAAATTACACTCTATATATTAAGTTTTGGATCTACTAAAACAAAAACCTTTAAACTCTAAGGTTATCTCCATAATTTAAGTATACCTTCAACTCCCTCTCTAGTCTTATCAACAAGAAAAATATCATCAGCAAAAAGCATACACCAAGGTACATGCTCTTGCAAATGTCTAGTGAGAACATTCATGACTAAAGCAAAAAGATATGGGCTTAAGGCAGATCCTTGATGTAATCCAACAAAATTATAAAAATACTTGGTCAAGCCACTTTGTGTTTGAACACAAGTAACAACTCCAAACACAAGTAACAACTCCTCCATACATATCTTTAATGACTTCAATATAAGAATTATTAATCCCTTTCTTTTCTAGAACTCTTCATAGCACTTTTCTTGAAACTTTATCACATGCTTTCTCTAAATCAATAAATATCATATGTAGATTCTCCTTATTCTCTCTATACTTCTCCATCAAACCTCTCAATAAATGTATAGCTTCCATACTATACCTGCCTAGCATGAATCCAAATTGATTTTGGAAAACATAAGTATCATGTTGTAACCTATGCTCTATAACTCTCTCTCATGGTTTTAAAGTATGACACATTAACTTAATTCCTCTATAATTCGCACAATCTTGTGCATCACTTTTATTCTTAAAAATTGGAATCAACACACTCATTCTCTATTTATCTACATTTTTAGTCTTCAAAATTATATGAAAAAGTTTTGAAAGCCAATAAATTCTTTCATCTCTTAAGCATTTTCACACCTCTATTGGAATATCATCAGGTCCAATAGCTTTTCCATACTTCATTTTCTTTAAAGTCTCTCAAACTTTGATTTTCCTCTTCAAATAAAAACACCTTTTGATCTTCATCATT